GATCTGTTTGAAGTCGGCCTTCACATATGTTTCGTCGTCCATGATGCAGCAATCAACTTTCGTCAGCATGTTGAGGTACAACTTCCTGGCACGGGTTTTGGCGGACTTGTTCTGCTTCTCGTCGCGATTAGGGGCCTTTTGTACCTTGAACGTTCGAAGCCCAGCCTTAGTTTTGGCCTTCTGGACAAAACTTCGGCTTAGGTGCAGCTTCTTAGCCACATCCCTAACGGAGGCGTTCGGATTTCGGTTGGAGGCCCCAACTACGCGGTTGTGATTTTTGGTGTTGTACGGAATACTTTTCCCTTCACTTCTGGGCTTCCGATCGGTGGTCAACCGTTCCTCGAACCGCTTAATCACTCGCGACACCGTGGAATTCGCGATTCCCAACGTTTTAGCGATGGAACGATGCGATAGATCCTTGTTCTCGTGATGAATGCGCAAGATTTTATCACGCACGAGCTGTTCTTTCGACTCCATTTCCGCGAGTTTTGATCACAGGACTTTAAAACTTGCAGGATGTAAATAATGCACTATGAACTAAATCCACCCAAATTTTCATTAAATTATACCCAACGGTTAAAAAGTTAGAGCAATTTCATAGTGTGGCAATTTCATCGTGGACACCCTTTATGGGACAATAAAGAATCTCCTTCCAGCAACATGACCGTACAATTGGTTAAAAAGACGAGCTCCCAAACAGGAAGATGCCGAAATTAGTGGGGAGAAGAGCCTGCTCTTTATCCTCGAAATGTTACCAACAGAGAGTTGGCATTCGCACTCTCCCCATCCAAATCGCTTCAATCGGGTGCCCTGATCGTTCTTCCCAATCCCAGCATTATTTTATATATATCTACAGGGTGACTGGTATTTCGTATTACACCCGAAAGGAGGTGAAAGTAGGCCACATTTGCAGCAAAAAAAAATGTACGGCAAGGTAGGTCGAAAAATCATTCATAACCGAGTAATTGAGCTATTAATTTTCTACTGATTCAAAATGCCCTATTTTGCTTGGGTATTCAAATCAAGAATGTTGCACGACCGTTACATTTAAATGCAACATTAAACGGTTAGAACCTGATCAAATCCATCCGAAAGTAAGCCTGTGGCGCCAATTGAATAGAGTGGTTAGTGAACAAAGATTGATCATAGTAGCCAAGCAATGCTTACTCCCTGGTTTGGTAATAATCACGAGTGCCTGGGCAAAAGTGGCAGTGTTGCTCGGTAATGTAAAATAAATAGATCAATACCTCGGTAAGGCATGATTTTTCAACCTACCTTTCACTAATTAACGGACTCCCTGTATATGAGCAATAATAAAAATTCGAATTTAAAACGATTTCACCAACTTTTGCTGTTTCTTCATCCTTCTGTTCAATTTTTGTGCCTCTTTGTGAACTCGTTGTCCTTCTATGCATCGCTGCTAGTCGCTACCAGTCTTCCAAAAGTCTCCCATGTTATTTATGATGTGTTCTATGACATTCCGACGTCCATTATCTTTGTATGAGTTGATCTTGAGTTCCTAGTTGCGTCTTATAAAATTGTAACATCAGTGCGGAAAATAGACAGTGTCTCTGGGTACTTTCTTAACGAGCACCACTCCATTGTCGTATCGCATGTGCTCCTTTTTGCAACTCTTTATTCACTTTTACTTTGTTGACTCCATGGTACCGGAAAAGATATAAATATATACATTTTTAGCAATGCTGTGATATAACCACAACGGGATAGCCGATCAGAATGGTTCATCGGATGTGAAATGAGGGAGCATTTAAATTTAATTCTATTTAAATATTTCAATGCAACATTAAATTTGTTGACTAAAAATTAACACATTTTTCAATATTTTATCTTAACTAATTTCTGAAAGCATTTACTTGTGTATTATACAAATAGTATCAATGTTCCGTCATATCGTATCTTCAAGTGATCTTCGCATGTGGCACATTTTATTCAGACTCTTTGGAACTATATGTGGTGAAATTTGAAACGCTTAATAAGTTAGATGCACGTAACAATGTCCAGTGTCATCACTTACTCACACATGAAATCTGCCTCGACCAACCTGGCAGAATGCGCCCTAGCCCTCACTGAGCCAAAAGGCTGGGCCCTAATGCGCACGCATTTTAATTAAATACCCCATATACACATAAGACCAAAGGGTAATAATACTAGCCATAGTAGGAGAAATAATGACAGCCTAGCCGTCTGAGAAGAGTTAAGTGAATGCGGTTCACGAAGCACTGGAATTGACGGCTAGACCCTTAAAATTGATGGGAATTCCCAAAATATTGTCAATGGTGTTTGCGTCACGTTCTGAATAAAAACAGACCAGCCTTCTCCAGAAATTGCGTTTCGATGATGATCCGAATAACATGCATCAATGCCAAGCTGGGACTGCGGAAAACTGTTGACAGGAAGCTTCAGAAGCTGTCAGTCAGCTGGCTAACTTCCTAACCATAGTAGCGGTTTGATTCGGCGAAAGGGTCAACTGTTCCAAAATATCCAAGCAAGCGCACATAAACTTGCTCGCATCATCCGCGAGAAGGGTAACTTTTTGGGAACGATTGAGCTTCCACCTGTTCCAAGTTATGTAAATAGATACACTTCCTGATAAACTGATTCCAATGGATGATAATCGCCCTTACCGAGGATGCCACGCAACTTGTTGATCCAACGCTGAAGTAGAAGCTCGATGCAATGATCGAACAACAAAACTGTCGAAAGATAAACAAATTTTGACGTTTAACTTTTTCCAGGCAACTTTGAAACCATTAATGCCGTCATAAAACTAAATGGAATAGGCTAAAGCAAAATAGCTTCAGTTTGTTAGCAATTTCATGAACGCAAAATAGCTTTTTCCCAATTGGCCAATGGAAAATCAATTTTTATGCCACCGCCATATTGGCATTATTCCATTTGTTTTTTACTATCTTCGTTTATCAAGATGTTTTTCCTTGAAAATAACTTTAATCTCATCAATTCATCAATGAGCGGTAATAGAGATTACGAAAATCATCAAATTATCTCGGCTGGATGCAATGAATGATATAAAAATAATTATACTTTGTTTCCTTAATTAAAAATAGTAAGTAAAATCAACGATTTCTTAAGGCAGACTTATTTTTTCGATCTTTCGCAGCACATTTTACGCTAGATTTAATATATCACCTAAAAATAGACCACAAAATGCGACCTACTTTGATAATTTTTGCATTTTTTCTTCACTTTAATGATGAGGAAATTTATGAAGAATTTTTGACCGATTCATTTTTGAACAATGAATGTGACAAGATCGGATGATATTTATGTCAAAGGCAAATGGCACCAGTATTGATGCCAAATGGATTTTATTGTAGTTTTAATAAGAATTCCAAATGGTTCTCATTGCTTTCATCGTATAACCTTTTTGCAGCAAATTAATCTTGAAGTGTCTCGAAAATATGCCCTTCAAAACCTTCTTCGGGACAGGCCAATTAGACAGATTCAAGTCTTAATGAGGTTTTAGTGGACGTAATAAAGGCTGTCTTGATCAGGGTTTTATGAATGTTGTTTTATAGTAGCCTTGTAGTGCTTCATTAAACGTGAAATGTTACTTGGGAGGCAACTGCGGTTCATATCACAGGTTGTGATATCGTAGCTACGAATATCAAGCTAACAAAACTCACCAGCTTCAAGTCTAACCAAACCGTGGTGAGTTTAAGTTTCATGATTTTTGCTTTACATCCGAACGCGACCCGATACTACCGTCACTGCTGACAGCAGTAGCTTCGTGTCTGTCATCGATGAACAGTATAGAGGGATGGCAAACTATACTTTCTCTTTCTAAGAAATCGATGTGCAACGAAATCATTTTTGTGTCGAGTCGACTCTCAGCATGTTGTGAATAGTCTCGCAATATCAAAGGAGCTTGTTTAATCAGTACCAAGCATGCTATTTTATTTCAAGAGCGGTAAGGAAAAATATCATTAGATTGATGATTTTACCAACACTGCTTCAGCAAATATGTTCTTCGTAGTAGAAGCTAAAAATCTGAGCGAAATTGGGTATACTAAACCAGTTCTAGTGAGTGAAGGAGTGTCATTTTTCCATACATTTCTATAAAAAAAAACCCATTAAATCAAAAGCGTCAGCTCGTAATGAGCTGAACCTTTCAGAGTGTGGTTTTCTCATCTAAAGATACAATTCTGGGGGAAAACAAATTCCCCCCTTATAAATATGAGCCAGTCTAATACACATGACCAACTGTAAAGCGAAAACAAAACTCAACAGAAAGAACAAAAAAAAAAAAAAATGGGAGGGAATGAGGTATCGAAATTATCGAACTCTTCTTCGACTCTTAAGATTCTTGGCCTACGACGACAGCTACAAGTGTGCAAGTGCGTGATTGTGTGCAATCTTGATCTCTTTACTAACTCACCTTGTCATTCGCTCTCAGTTTTGTTCGAGATCTCATTTCGAGCGCTCAGAAGGCTTCTTTCTCACTTATGTTTTCCGCTTCTTAATCCATACATGTCAATTCTGTATATGTACATATATGAAAAAAAAAAACAATTCTGTTTCGATGGTTATGTAAATTTCAGGTTTGTTTCTTTTTTAGGGAAACACTCGTAATTCTATTTTCGAGTTTTCCATAATTTATAAACTACTGTTACTTAACTTTTTTTTCCCTCCCCTGGTAGTCGTGTGCTACTTTTTACCCATACTGTCACTATCTGTCTTTTTCTTAGGTGTAAGGATTTTTATTTCGTTTCGGTTTTCGGTTTCCTTTTTCAGCACACCTACACACGATTGACGCGTTGAAATGTGATTACCAATTTACTAATATATGATATTTTCTCTTTTTCCCCTTTTCTCGAACAAACAATGTCTGGTTTTCTTTTCCTCTACCGCGCAAAAAAACACTTATCTTCCATCTGAAACAATAAAAACACCCTCCTCACACCCGCTCTCATATACTCAAAACGACAACAACAACAACAACGAAACCGAACGACCTCTAGATACGATACGACGATGAAGACGAGGATGAAGGTCCCCAGCCGGATTCCACACTTGAGCAGGGAGTGCCAATCCCTGTTCGAATGCAGGGCAGCTTCCCTCCGGAATTGGCCTCCACGCCTCTCGAGGATATCGACACCTTTTACGCAAATCAGAGGGTAAGTATTGCAGAGACGAGAGTGATCTAATCAGAAATGTTTCAATGGAAAGGAATGCGAATGGAATTTTGAACTGTTGATGATGATGTTGGTCAATTTCATGTATTCCAGATAGAGGGTGAACATATTTCTCATCTTTTTCATGTGTATCCATCTTCGGAATATAAATTTAGATGGAAATTAATACCACATCAACCGTAGCGTCATGGCTCACCTTAAATATTAGTAGGAAACAACTTTCGAAATCATTTGAGTCAAAATATTAGTTCGATTTACTTCGATTACTTCGATTACTACTAAAGAGCGTCCAAAGTAGCCCTCCTCGATGATAGTATAGGAAGTCTTCACTATACTACGTCAATCTACTACAAACCATATTCAAGACGCAAAGAGATTTACCAGAAAGAGTGCCTGCAGAAGCAATTGCTACCTTTCACCAAAAAGCCACAAAGAAACCCCTTAATATAGCTATGTTGTGACTTCGTGAATTTTTAAATCTTATCCCATGAATCAGAAATAAACAACTACAATTGACATATAATGCAAAAAATTTGCTTTACTTAAGTTTTGATGTGTCTAGATTATTGTGGATACAGACCTTACAATCAAAATCGACAGAAATAAACGTAATTTTACTACTACTAAGAGATGTACATTGATTCCATGCTAATATTTGGACATGTTTCGATTGCTAAAAAGATTGCCTAATCTAAATCTTGCTTTGATCTGAACTCCAGGATGATTTGGAGAGACTAATACGTTTTATATACTGCGAACATCGTTCAAGGAATCGATTGCGGTAGATTGAATTTATTTCTGATAACTGAAAAAGCCAATTTAACCTCAATTAAAAAAAATCCTGCTTTACTGGATTGGTCAAAAAATCAACTTTAAAAGACACTAAAATCTAATTTGAAATCAGAACAGGTAAGGGGGAAATACTGAAACCAAATTTCAACGTCATCAACAGAGCAGTAACATAATCATCTCTGTTTCAAAGCAACCACAATCAATTAACATCAACCTAACCTCAAACTGACCAGCTGCATGAAGGGGTCGCACGATGTAGGCCTCAGAATCCCATTCCTTGACGACGACATCAACAAAAACAACCACCCAGTCAGTGTGGCAGCTACGACAAACAGAAGGACTTTCATACGTCTACTCTTTTATCGATTGCTTTGCAGAGTTTTTCCTTTTAGGATCGGCGGCCGACCAACCCGACCAACCCGACCGCCCGTTCGTCGTCACCTTGTCGTCATCGACTTTGTCGCTTGTTTTTTTTTTATTCGAGTCTTGCATGCTGCTACTGGCCCGTAATTCAACCGGGAACAGCGAGCACACACAAACACACTTCGTTAGACCAATTCACGGCAAGGACCTATCCCCACTCAGAACAGCAGTGAGGCATGTTTGCATCCAACTATATCTCGACATACCTACCCATACATGGCCCACAATGTGAAGAAGAAAAAAAAAGTCACATCAAATATTGATATCGTGTTGCTCCATTGAGTGACGGTGTACTGCTGGCGTCTCTTTCGCTCCCATGCAATTGGGGGCTGAACGTGGGGAGTTTGACGTTTTTACTAACTACTGAACACGCGCGCGTTTGCCTGCCTCTGTCGTGGGGACAAGCGTTTTTAGAACGAAGTCTGAACACGCGACTGCGAGGAATTCTAGAAAGCATGTAATCATCATGCGGAAATTGTGGAACATTGTGAAATTAGAAAACGAAACTCGAATCACAAAAAAAGAAGTCTCTTTTTAGAATCAGAACAAATTCTAATCAAAGCTTTCCTCTCTCTCTCTCTTTCTTTCTATTTGCAGACATTCGTAGTAGTTAGTAAAGGAAAAGATATTTTTCGTTTCTCCGCAACCAATGCATTATATGTACTCGATCCGTTCAATCCTATACGTCGCGTAGCTATTTGTATTTTAGTACATCCACTGTTTTCATTTTTTATAATAACAACCATTCTTACCAATTGTATATTGATGATCATGCCTAGCTCGCCGACAGTCGAATCTACCGAGTAAGTATCTCTTTTTCTACTTCGGAATATTTCTATTAAATGAATGATTTTTTTGATTTTGTTTAAATCACACTAATTAGAGCAGAAAGTTAGGAAACATATAACCGATCTTAGATGAGTTTTCTGGACCTTATAATCAATTCTGCTTAGGTTTATATACTTATATAATCGGTGTCAGTTTGCTTTGTCTATTTAATCGATCTACCTTAAGTGTTTTTTTTTTCTTAATTATAAAATCATAGATGCAAAGAGAATTTAGCTTATCAATCAACTTTTGTAACGAGTTTCACTAGGAAAGCAACCAAATAATTAAAAACCTATATAACGATAGAATTTTGGTGTACCAACACTTGTATGTATGTGGTTGTGAGTTTTGTCCCCTTGCAAAATGTATACTGGAAACGTTTCTAGATTGGATTATGTCACAGTTTTGAGTTCAGAGTTCGGAACAGTTCAATACTTGTAACATACTTAGGTTTAAAACATTTATGCACTGCATAGGATTTGGAATGATGCTGTTGGACATATTTTGAGAAATATGATTAATTGTGTATGTTGATTAGTTTTGATTAGAAGAAAAATTTTTGCTAGGATAGACAGGATTGGCTGGAGTGTATCCATGGTGGTAAGAAGTCGTTTGGCATTAACTTAAATCGTTATGTGGGGTGGTGGGGCTGTTTGAGAGAACATAAAACACATCAATATTTACTTACATCAAATTTCACATGTTTTTTTCATTTAGGCATAAATCGAATAGCATCTTAGCAAAAATGCATAGCTTGCGTCAGTCACTAAGCGCTCAATTAAAGACAAACATGTTCGGAACATGATTCCTAAGGTCTTCCGTAAACTTTCTGAAAGACGCCATCGAATCTTTTTCAGCAACAACCTCTGCCTACAGTTGATCTAGAAGAGCATCAAATGACTTAACAAAAGTGCAGTTCCACGCCAAGTAATGAATCGTAAAAACTCGACCTTCTCCGATTTACATAGCTGTTCGTTGTGGGCAATGATTCACATTTTTGCTAAAATTCGACCATTCCAGAACTTGCATAATTTTCAAACAAAATGTAGCACGGAAACGACACTTCTGATCGAAATGACGTCTGAGACAAAGTTGTAGAGAAAAATAATGTTTGTCTGTGAAAAATATACAAACAATTTTTTTTAGTAATTTCAAGTAAAAAAATATAACATCCTAAATATCTTAAAATGTCTTTGTTCGATTTTTTAAATTAAATATTAATAAAAAATGAAAACTTTTGAAACGTTTAGAATAATGGACATTTAAAAAATTGTTTAGAAAAACGTAAAGCAATAACTTTTGGTCAAATTTAATACAAAAATTTAAAACGTTTTTAAAGTAATTTATGCTCAGACAACAATGCACAGTGGCCAGGAATTAAATCCAGCAGGAAAAAATAATAACGCTCTGGTATTTCATCCAATTGAGTAGACGTCTCCAGTGAAGTTTCTTGGATTAATTAGGACTACACTTTGGTGATACAAACTTTTTACAAACTTCGCAAGATAGAGGTTTGCTGTCTTCGGAAACGTTGTAGAACGTAGAATTATGTGAACAAATGCCCAAGACTGTAAAGTTGTACATCTTTAAACATCTGATATATACAAAGTTTAATATTTTCTTTTTAAATTTACGTTTTTAGTATTATAATTTGAACAATCGCTCAAAAGAATACTGTTATCATTTTTCCGCGATCGGTACTGATCAATCCAATCTTTCCCAGATCAATGTTATTATTTTTAGAGCACTGAAAAATATGTATCACAAGATGTTTGAAAAACAATGCATTATTTTTTGAATGATTTTTCTAAAAAATGCGCAAGTGATCGCAAAATTCCATCAATCATTCAAAATTTACATCAAATAAACTTTAATTCCTCAAATATCTCAGAGAAATATATTTGTTGAGATATTTGATTTTGACTAAAACAATATATTTTATTTCAACAAAAGCAACTCATTTTATTTTTTTTTTTTACTTTTTATTTGTTCCAAATTCAAAATAAATTACATTGCATTTTTAACCTAGGTGCTCCAGTTACTACAGTAACTTACCAGCCTTAATTGTTATGATATATATCTAAGTGTTTTTACATTGTTCCTGTCTTGGCAATTCAGTATTTTAAACAGGTTTTTTTAAACCTGCATGTCAGTATAACAATTGATAGCTTAAAACTAAAAAACTAAAACTAAATCTTATCTAAGTATAAAGGGAATTAATCGTTGCAATTGAGGATTGCAACGATTTTTGTCTGAAATTATTCATTATTTTGTTGGACATTTGTTCTAAAGTCTCAACATTCGAAATTCTATGTACCTCGGTAGTACTGTACCAGGGAGGCAACTTCAAAATCATCTTCAGAATTTTGTTCTGAATCCTTTGAAGTGCTTTTTTCCTGGTAGTGCAACAACTAGACCATATTGGCACAGCGTAAAGCATGGCCGGTCTAAAAACTTGTTTAAATATTAGAAGTTTATTCGTCAGGCAAAGTTTGGATTTCCTGTTTATAAGAGGATACAAACATTTAATATATTTGTTACATTTAGCTTGAATGCCCTCAATGTGATCTTTAAAACTTAATTTTTGGTCAAGTATTAATCCAAGATATTTCACTTGGTTTGACCAGGAAATTGGAACTCCGTTCATAGTGACTATGTGACTACTACTAGGTTTCAAAAAGGAAGCTCTAGGCTTATGTGGAAATATTATAAGTTGAGTTTTGGAAGCGTTGGGAGAAATCTTCCATTTTTGTAAATAAGTCTGTCTGCAGTCTGCTGCAAATAACACGAAGACTTCTTCCTTTAGCGGAAATGCCTGTGTCATCAGCGAACAAAGATTTGTGGCAACCCTGAGGCAAATCAGGGAGGTCCGAAGTGAAAATGTTATACAATATAGGCCCAAGAATGCTACCCTGAGGAACTCCTGCTCTAACAGGTAGTCGATTAGATTTGGAATTTTGATAATTTACCTGCAGAGTTCTGTCAGTTAAATAATTTTGAACTAATTTCATAATGTAAAGTGGAAAATTAAACTTTTTCAATTTAGCAATCAAACCTTCATGCCAAACACTGTCGAATGCTTTTTCTATGTCTAGAAGAGCAACTCCAGTTGAGTGGCCTTCAGATTTGTTTGAACGAATTAAATTGGTAACTCTCAAGAGTTGATGAGTAGTTGAATGCCCATGGCGAAATCCAAACTGCTCATCTGCAAAAATTGAGTTCGTATTGATGTGAAGCATCATTCTGTTCAAAATTATCTTTTCAAAAAGTTTACTTATTGAAGAAAGCAAACTTATTGGACAGTAGCTAGAAGCTTCAGCTGGATTTTTATCCGGCTTCAAAATTGGAACAACTTTTGCATTTTTCCATTTATCAGGAAAGTATGCCAAATGGAAACATCTGTTAAATAATTTTACCAAGAAAGACAAGGTACTCTCTGGGAGTTTTTTGATGAGGATATAGAAAATTCCATCATCACCTGGAGCTTTCATATTTTGAATTTTTTAGTTATAGACCTTACTTCGTCCAAATCAGTCCCCCAGGAATCATCAAAAATATTTTCCCGAGAGAAAATATTCCGAAAATCCCGAGCAACCTGATTCTCAATAGGACTAGTAAGACCCAAACTGAAATTATGGGAACTCTCGAATTGCTTAGCAAGTTTCTGAGCTTTTTCCAAATTTGTGATCAAAATTTTACCACCTTCTTTAAGTGCTGGAATTGGCTTGTGAGGTTTTTTCAAAATTTTTGTGAGTTTCCACAAGGGTTTGGAACTCGGGTCTAATTTAGAAATATTATTTTCAAAAGTTTTGTTCCTCAGGGCAGAGAATCGCTTTTTAATTTGTTTTTGCAAATCCCGCCAAATAACTTTCATGGCAGGATCGCGTGTTCTTTGAAATTGTCTCCTACGGACATTTTTAAGACGGATCAAGAGCTGAAGATCATCGTCTATTATAATTGAATCGAATTTAACCTCGCATTTTGGTACTGAGGCAGCTCTTGCTTCAACTATAGAAGTAGTCAGAGATTCAAGAGCATAATTAATTTCATCTTTGGTTTGCAAAAGAATGTTTGGATCGAAGTTATATTCCATAAATGTTCGATATTGCTCCCAATCAGCCCTATGGTAATTGAAAGTAGAGCTGTTGGGATTAGAAATTATTTCTTGGGATATTTCAAAAGTTACTGGAAGGTGATCAGAACCGAAGTCAGCATGGGTAACCAATTGGCTACAAAGTTGACATGAATCAGTTAAGACCAAATCAATAGTTGAGGGATTTCTTGCAGAAGAAAAGCATGTTGGGCTGTTTGGATATTGAATAGTGTAATAACCTGCAGAACAATCATCAAACAGAATATTACCATTGGAATTGCTTTGAGCATTATTCCATGAGCGGTGTTTTGCATTAAAATCACCAATAATAAAGAATTTAGACCTATGACGGGTAAGTTTCTGGAGGTCACCCTTGAGAAAATTCTTTTGCTGGCCTACGCATTGGAATGGCAAATAGGCAGCTATAAACGTAAGTTGTCCAAATTTTGTTTCAACAGAAACTCCCAAAGTTTCAAAAACTTTAGTTTCAAATGAAGAAATAATTTTGTTTGATTCGTCTATGAATAATGATGGCAACGCCACCACAGGGTCCATCAAGACGATCATTTCTATAAATCAAGTAATTTGCGTCCTTCTTAACCTTATGGTCAGGTTTAAGGAACGTTTCAGTTATAACGGCAATATGCACGTTATGAACTCTCAAAAAGTTAAATAGCTCGTCTTCATTATCTTTAAGAGATCGAGCATTCCAATTTACAATATTTAATGCTTTAAAATCCATTACTGAATTTTAAAGTCATGACAATAGTATTAGCAAATTTTACTCCAGTTTGAATAGCATCAAACATGGAGTTAGATTTAAGCATATCAGAAATCATGTCAATTAATGAATTCTGTAAAAATTCCATTTTAGGAGCAGTA